TTATGTATTGGGCTCATTTTCACGTTTCGAACCCTTGAATACAATTACAGCTATAGTTGGGCTACTAACAAGCGCGCCTTAGGAATCAAAAAGTGGAACTGTCAAGCGTTCCTGTTCCAGGTGTCATGCTCGTGGTCATGTGACGGTGTTCTGCTGAGAAAGCTGAGAAATAACCTACCGATTAGGTTCGGAAATTTATGCCTTTATAATATTTATTATTATATTATTGTATGCCTTATAAAATAGGAGTACAAAGACAATTATAATTATTACGTTATTTTGGACTATTCAAAACCACAAGCATTAAGTTTAAATTAAGTAAACATCACCCAATACTTTTGAGCACTCAAAAATAACATCACCTTTTGACCAAGAGGCATCCCCTTAATAACATGAATATGGCAAAAAGATTTTATTTCTTAAAAAAAAATCTCAAATTTATGCCATTAAATAATTTTTAAAATTTATTTTCAGTGTTTTGTATCTATAAATTTATTGTTAATTTCTGATTAGAAATTCTTTATAGTTTAATTGTTTGTGACTTCAAATATTGTGTTAGGGCTAAAATGACTCGCCATTGATCGAAAAACCTGCATTGGTATAAGTGAATAATTAATATTAAATTTATAAGACGGTTACATATTTTTGAATAAATTAAATTATAATAATTAATTTAAACAATTAAATTATACTAAGAGATAAATTATAATTTTAATCACATAACGTCTTGAAGGGCCCCCGAGCCAATTCTAGGTTCTGTTCTATTTTTTTTTTTTTTCCTGTGCACCTACGATTTTCTATAAATATTCTGAATGTCCTCCAAATTTAAATACACAAAAATATACAATATAAATAAAATATGATGGGCTAAAACATTCAAAACCTCATAAAAACGTTTTCACTTTCAAGAAATTCAAAACCTCATAAACATATGCCCTCCCCAAAAATGTTGATGTTAGTCCCTTTCGGACACCCTGTTGATCATTTGTTAAAAATAAAATTATATTAATGAATGAAATATAAATTCTATTCTGATGATCGCTTGAAGTGCCAACGAGACGAGAGTATTCCCAATTCAGACAAAAATTTAAAGTTGCGAAAACCTTAAAAGTGATGTCAAAGGATGAAGTGACAATCTACTAAAATTCCTGCAGAAAATACCCGTTATCACAATAAAATATAAACACGGCATCTTGACGTAAAATCGAATAAAAAATAATAATAATACTACATATTACATCTGTAATAAATACTATAAATATTACTTCGCAATTTAGTTTTTAAATATAGTTTTCTTGGCAGTACTATAATTGAAAACAACTACTGAAAAGCGATAAACAAATAATTAATAAGATTTTTTAAATTTATTTTTGCTAATGTATAAAAAATAGATAACTTTTTTAAACACATTTAAGGATTTATTTTTATTCTAAATACATGAATATTCATTATTTGTCAGTCGGAAAGATGACTGAATAAAGCCGACTATTTATTATTTTAAGCCAATCCGAGAAATTCTTAATTCATAACACTATGAAATCGAATTTGTTTACTATATTTAAGAAAATAGTTTTATTTTCGTAGATTTTTGTAAAGAAGTTTAGTTTTTTTTTTGGACTACAATCAAAGTTATTTTTTCCACTCCACCTATTTTGGTTAGAACGTTTTTTGTAAAATTATAGAAACCTTATAGAGTTCAAACAAGCAAGAAGGACCCAGATGACTTCAGGATGTGAATGGAGGGCGTAAAGAACTAGTTTGTGATTCTTGGAAATGTACTCGTATGAGTACATTGAGGTGAAGCAGAAACCTTTGAGAATGCGGTGGCTCATCTCTGGTCAATTGGAATTCATCTGGTTATTGTCAAATTCAACTATTTAGAATTCATAATACCTGAAGAATTGACAAATGGTGAAGGCATGCTTATGATGGTTGCTTATAGGAATATCAATGATGGTGCTTTATTAAAACTTAAGTTATTATTGTATAACACTCACAATAACTATAAAAAATTCTAATCTTTATTCTACTATTATGGAATTTAACAGTAGTTGTGCTGCTATTTAAACTATTTAAAAAAAACATATAATATATAGTTAAATAATGAAGTATAACATAAATTTTATATTTATCGCATGGTAGATCGCTATGATACCGAATGGTAATATAATTAATTTAAGGTATTTAATGCATAAATAAATTTAATTTATAAATTAAATTGATGCATTCACTGAATTATTAAAAAGTTTAAGTAAATTACAGTTTCATCGTAAAAAGTTATAATTATGTAAAACATTTAAAAAAGAAATATCGGCTCTGCCAGTCATGATTTTTTTCAAAACTTTTTAACCTTAAGGATTTATTTATTTTATTTTAACCTTAAGGATCTTCGAAAACAATATTGGAAATGATAATGGGATCATCTTTTACTTTTTAGCTGTAAATACCTCGAACATAAACAATAATATTATTGGAGTATACGAAATCTGGAAACGTTGCTTGGGGTGTGGTTGAATTATATGTTAAATTTTTATTTTATTTTATTAATATTGGTGCTGAACTTGGAAATAACAAAAATTAGATACATATATATATATATATATATATATATATATATATATATATATATATATTAAATAAAGCTATGTGACAACAGAATTTCTTCTTGGAGCGAGCGCTTCTAAAGGAATCGGGCAATAACCCGGGCTGGAAGAAAGCACAAGGCCAAGATGACAGCACATAATCTTCCTGCGATATTTGAATAAATCCTGTGCCCCGGAGGTAAAGGACGCCATGCCCATTTTTTAAAATTAAATAATTTAGTAATTAAATAAACAAATTTAAATAGCTCAAATTTATTTTTTTTTTAAATGGCTCTCCGAACAAATACAAAAATGTGACACGATATCCTTTACCTCCGGAGTACAGAATTATTATTAACGTTTCAGTTTATAGTAATTTATTAATACTTGTGTATAAATAAATAAAATGTTATGATAAAATAAAAATATTAATTAATTTAATATTAATTTTTAATTAATATTAAATTAGAGTGTTTCGAATGGGTAAATTCTCTTCAAGCATTTTCATACCATTGTATTTCTCTGCATCCTATTTACTGAATGTATATTTATTTTTATAGAGGTGTGAATTTCATGAATAATAATAAAAAAAAATTAATATATTATACCGTTCTAGATCTTCTCAGTAAGAGCTGTTGTTTTTAAAAGTTAAACATTCCAAATTATTACTTTATTACATTATTTTAAAAATCGATAATATCTTTCAAATAATTTATTTTTTTATTTTATGCTATTTATCTATCCAAAGAAATTAAAAAAAAACATAATAGTACAGTTGAAATCTTTTGTGTTGTATTTTAGTACTAAAAGATGTATTTTATAGTCAAGAAATGTTACAACGCATGCTTGATATATTTTTTTTTCAGATAAAAGAATCTTTAATTACGAAATCTTATTTTTCGTAATAACACTTAGAGGAGACTAGAGGATACTTGTAATATCAGCATTATTATTATTATCTTTTTTATTCTCGCCTTTATTATTATTATTATTATTTTTGATAAATATCACAGTACTACTTTACGAAAGTAAAAATGATTAGAAATTAATATAAGTATACGAAAATTATATTTTAAAATAAGATTCCAAACCTGTTCTACTCACTAGATATTAACTATTCCATTTACAATTATCCTATTACGAAATAAAAATTTATTAATACTTTTTAATATTATTTGTCGAAAATAAGATAATAGTTGCATAACTGTACAGTTTAAGTATAAGAAATTTGTAATTATTGGTTAGAGAATTTTAAAATATGTAATAGACATCATATCAACAGTCGAGATATAGTTTACTTTGTCCGGTCTTTTATTTGATATTTTTTTTATTTTAAAGTATTTTTTGAACAAATATAAAAATTTAATTTCCTTCAAAACTCCATTCTTTCAGAATAAAATTAATTTATTATGTCGTTTTAGCATTTTATTAATTACTTTTAAAAATATTAACAAAATTCGAAAAATATCTAAAGCTACAGCAATTGAAAATTCTTTTTTTATAACAAAAAAATATGTCTAAATATTATATTGTATAAATAATATCGGAAGTTAATACACCAAAGATGTGAAATCGTTTCTTGAATTTCGTTCGTTTATTACTTCGATACCCAGTTAGCAAAAGGTATTAATAAGTTTTATTTATGACGATTTTTATTCTATTTGTTTTATTTTTTTTTTTCAATTTTTAGTTGTTTTTAAAAAAAAGTAATAACAAATAAAATAAAATAAATTATTTTCTTTTTTTGATTAAAAATAGAGTTATTAAAAAAAAAAAAAAAAATCAAACGCAGACAATTAGTTTGACTTTTAATAAAAATATAGAATAATATCATAGAACTATGAAAGAATAAAATGAAAATCATAATACTAAAAAGATAAAATGAAATAATACTAAGACAATAAATCCGGAGTGTTTCTAAATATTCCATTATAAATTACTCTTAAACAGTAAAAATAAAATTTATAATTTTCCTCGAAGTACAGAAGAGAACTTGATATTACAATTGATACATAAAAATCAGTGATATTTAAAACCTTACTTAAATATTATTTAATAAATTTGTACAACTTTTTATTAATTTAATTATTAAATCATAATTAAAAAAATATATATATAGCTCCTACAACAACAGTGAGGAAGTATTCCCTTGTGCAACACCCGCTTTATTCAAATAATTTGACTGCGAGTATTTTTTTCATAATTTTGAAAAAAATTATACTTCGAAAATATGTATTGGATATTGATTTTAAATACGGCCTAGCTTTATAATGATAGCGAAATATTTCCTTGATTAAAATTAAAAATATTTTCCATCTTATTGATTATTTAATTAATTTATCAGTATATAAGGAAGATACTGGAATAATAAATAACTAAGAATTGTAGATAGATGTGTAGATATGGGATGCACCCTACCTGTTTGGGTTCCTTGGACGACGTTGCCTGAAGGGTTAGGTTGCAACTGAAGCTTGCCGGGTGTACGAAGGCCGTATATACCTGTCCCAGATCCTCCGGCTAACCCACATTCTCCCACCTTTCCATTTCTTCCACCGGCATCCCCACTTCCGAGGGTAGGGGCTCTTGTGGGTTACACCACTGGGTGGTAAGCCACGCCGGATATTGATAAATCGGAAATCACTATTCTCTAATGAGTATCCTTTGCTACCAATCTTAACTACTCCAAGAAGAATTGAAGTCCTTTTTCAAGTGAAAGGAGGATTTTCAAAGAGGAAATTCGATTTCTTAAAGTAAAAAAAAAAAAAGATTTGTCTATATTCCTTGGGGATATTAAAGAGGTTCAACCCCCTCAACGTATCCCTTAGTTTGTTTAGAGATAATCAAGAGTCTCATTTGACCATTAGAGATTTAAAAATCTTGAGTACCTTTTAATTAGTATCTTTAACAAGTTTCTGTTGAGGCAGCTATGGATTGTAATTACTTAAATGACTTAAACACGTAGAAACACCAGGCCCTCAGGAATAATGATGGTTTCTAATAGGATCTACTAACTACATACAACTGGTAGCTACCTAGACTTATCAAGAAGTGGACTAACTATACTGTTTTCCTTGTTATGTTCATTTTTTTTTTTCCTCTCCTACCTCGCCTTTTCGGCTGTATGGAGTTTTTCTCAGGCCAGAGGAGATGAATGTCATAGCTAAATGCCCCCCGGTAACCAGACTCGAGCTCGTTATCATCAGGTTATCGAGTTGTCAGGTAACGCGTTTATATCGAACGCATTAGTCTGCTCGGCCAAGTCATCCCTTGCGCGATTTGTTTACATGTGATGAAGTTTGGTGAAAAGTCTGAATTCGATGGAAATATCATTGGAAACAGGTATGTCCATCTTCCCTAAAGACAATGAGACAACAATATAACAATAAAATAAATAGAATTATAAAAGTTGTTGCATTTTTTTTTTTATAAAATTACGATTTCTTCATCTTTATAAATTAAGGCCATATTCTACCAACATTTTATTTTTTTTATATTATCTTGACGACGTTTCGGCCAACGCTAAGGCCATTTTCAAGTCTTAATTGAGTCCTTCAACTAAATATTCATATTCAATGTCATTTTCCTTAATTCTTCTCAGATTAATATAAAAGAAATAAAATGTTGGTGGAATATGGCCTTAATTTATTTTTATTTTATTTATTTAATGAAATTTACAACTGTATAAACAATACAACTAGTAAAAATGCAAACATTGGAAATAATGACATGAACAGACTTGAAGAGATACCTCACAGTGCTATTTAATTCTAGGTGAGAAGATCACGTGGTCATCTTCTTTTCAGACGCCTAGGAGGATTACCAGGAATCTAGGAAGAAGCAAGGCTGGAAACAAGTGGATTTGGATGGGACTGGAGTTTATCATGAAAGGATAGTCGAAAACGTCAAGCAGTTTCTTTTCGTTTCAGTCCAGTATGCGGATTCCAAGTGAGACGTTTATCCAAGTGGAGTCCTAGATAGCGGATTTGTTCAACAGGAACAAGTGGAATATCATTGAAGGATATTGTAGGACAAGAGGTTGTGGGTTTACGACAAAGGGTAAAGGTAATTTTATGGGATTTATTGGAATTGATTTTTATTCTCCAGTTATGACACCATTCTTCAAGATTTGTGTTATGTGTCTAAAACTATAAAAATGAAAACCTCAAGACACCAAAATTTGGGATAATAAACAGAATTATAATCTACAATTACAATTGACACCATCGAAAAAATATGTCTTTCTACTAAACTTTACAAACCAGTATCAAAATTATTGGTGTCAACATCCCCTTCTGGGCATCTCTGATTGTAAAGTCGAGCTGCGGATTTTTGCAATTTGCAAATTAAATTACAATGTTGTCTTTGTTCTGGTGTAACAAATATATAGTGGCATGCTGTTTGAATCGAATTTACATCGCTTCGGATCAGACGTCCTGTGACACTTATTCCAACGAGATCTTCCATAGCGGTCTTTAATCAATATTAATAGGCTTTAAGCATTGTTTTCTTTCATAGATAGTCGTGCTATTCGTGACTTATTTAATTGACTATCAAAGTTATTAATTATATGAGGGGATTAGAGTGATAGTGATCTCAGTCAATTTTGTATAGAACGTGTGAAGTTTTGTAAATCTACTTTAATGATATTTTTATGCTATACACATAACCGAATTGTGAAATAGAGAAATAATTACGAATTCAAACCCCGGTGCCCGGTGGAACTTTTAAGTCCTCCGCCCTCTCCACCGGTTCGGAAAAAACGCTATGTAGCCTAAAAGGCATGGATAAAAAAAAAATGTATACACATATAGCTAAAATACTCACAATATTCGTAAAATATATATTGGCATTATAACTCCCTCATATTGAGATTTCATTTATTTACTCTTGTTTTATATAATTTATGCGATACGTATGCATACTATGATAATTAAGACGATAAAAATAAAGATAAAAGTTGGATGTGAAGAGTTCAACTTTGCCTTAACACCAAAAGAGTGGTACAGGCATCAAATCCGATTACTGGCAGAAAGTAGTTGAAACAATGGACTTTATTTTGAAGATTGAGTGTCCAATAATTTTTAAAATATGTAATATGAAATACATCTGTACTTATTTATATCCAAGGGCATTTGTAACCACCTGGTAAGATATAGAAAAGCTAGTTTATCGACCTTAACCAATGTTTTCCTTGAAACTATTCAAACATCCCCGTGAATCTTGGAATTTCCTTCTCTACAAAAAGTTGAATCGTCTTTCCCATGAAACTGTGAATCTAGCTGAGCAATGATGATCCTCACAGGAATACGAAAAGAGTATCTCATACATTACATATAAAGAATCACAAAAATAGATCAGATACATATTGATTCAATTTTTCTAAGGCAAAGCCAATTGTTGTATAATTTTGAAAGATTGGAAAAGGGTTCAAAGAAAGTTCAGAACTAAGACAAAATATTGTATTTATTATTTTAAAATACAGTATTCAATATACCATGTAGTTTGCGTTTTTAATATCAGGGTATTTTAATTACTATCTATTTCAAATACTTCTATAAAAATTATTTTAAATACAAAATATTTACGTCTAATGTACCTGGTTGCAATTGTTTTACAAATTATAATTTTTTATTTTATAAATTTTAATTTTTTGTAAGAAAATCAGTCATTAAAGAGGAGCATAGTTTTAAAACAATCAATGGAGAAAGAAATATTTTATTCGATCTATATTTCTTTTAACGAACAATTTGTTTAAAAAGTTACAATTGACCAACAAACAAATAATTAGACTATGTAGATATTAATTACAAATCAAATTTGTTAGCAATTAACTTTTAATTATAACCTTTCCTTAAATAGTTGATCATACAACTATTTCATTCACTATCAACCTTCAAAAATTTTCAAGCTCAATATTAAAGCAAAATTTTCATGGACAAATTCTTGTACGAACGATTAGCTTAATTATATAATTTAAAGGCGCCTTCTCGATTTGATAATGTATTTTATGTATTTAAAACACAAAATAAATTACAAACATATTTTATCATATTTTGTATTTTAGAAAGAAAATAAAGTTAGAAACAATGTATTTTATACATGGAGAAAAGAAATGTTATACAGGGTGTTTCAGGGTTAAGGGCCCAAACTGAAAATATGAATTAAGGACCTCAAAACAACAACAAAAAATGCTATGAAGGTATGTCCGCAAACGTTTTGTTTGGGAGATATTCACACCTAAAGATTTACATTGTTATGAATTATTTACGTTTTATTAATAATAATTATTATTTATTTGTTCCAACTACTTTATTAATTAAACGTAAACATTAAATGTTAAAAGTGATTTCCTTGAGCATTAAGACAGGCTCGGCATCTTTCTTCAACTGCAGCAGTGACAGAACGGCACTGGATATGTGCCATTATTTCACAAGATTCAATTATCCTTCTTCGTAAGGAATTAAGGTCATTGCCCGTACTTGTATCGAATTTTTATTTAATGTCGCCCCAAACAAAAAAATCCAGTGGTGTCAGGTCTGGAGAACGTGCAGGCCTAGCCACTGGTCCTGCACGGCCAATCCATTGATTGGGATAATTAACATTTAATTAAGCTATTTTCGTGGAACTCTTCCGTAACGTGCAGGACAACCATCTAATTGATATCACAAGTCCCTTCTCAGTTGTAGTGGAATATGTTCAACTAAATCACAGTAATCATTATTAAGAAATTACAGAAATGTGCACGCATTGAGTCGAGGCGGCAAGAAATATTGTAAAACACTCCTTTCTTCATTTCTAAGGGACAAAAATACCATCAGCACGTGGTATTATAGCAAACGTACCAGTTTTTCTAAGACGTTGAAACGTGGAGCTAAAGTTAAAGTTGTTTGGTAATCTTCTATTCGGAAATCGCCTGGCATATTCGACGGGCAGCATTATCATTAGCATAGCAAAAACCGTATACAAACATCATATCGGCATATTCACCATTAGTATAAATGGAAGGTATAATGAGTACTCTGCGGAAGCCTCATACCAACTGATAAATGTTATTCAGAGTTCCCAATGCTAATTCCAAACAGTATTAATCCTTATGTTGCCAATAGTTTTACAGTTATGGAAAAAAGGCCATATTAGGGTTCTATCTAATCCATCTCCTAAATAAAGCGTTTGCGGACATACCTTCACTTTGAACAACATTTAATATGAATGGTAATGTTTACATTTAATTAATGAAGTAGTTAGAACAAATAAGTAGGTTTTATTTATTTCATATAATGTAAATAATTCATAACAAAGAAAATCTTGCGGTGTGGATATCTTCTAAACAAAATGCTTGTGGATATTCCTTCAGAGGAAATTTTTTTCTTATTTTGATGTCCTTAGTGTATATTTGCAGTTTGGCCACTTAACCCCGAAACACCCTGTAATTTAAAATAATATCTGGTCAACATGTA